AGTTATTAATATTTTGAATTAGTTTTTATTTTTATATTTTCAGTTTTAATTTTAATTTTAGTTTAGTTTTTAAGTAATTTCAGTATGCGCTTTTGCCATTTTCTTCTTTTTTTATTATTTTGCCATTTATATATATATATATATATATATATATATATAGTTCAATTATATATCATCTCTACACTCTACACAGTATTATGGAGAAAGATTTTATATATAGAGTTTGTTTGTGTGCTGTTTTTTCAATCTTTACACTTTACACTGCCACAGTGACTGATTTTCTGGCCATCGATGCTGTGATCTACAGGAGTCTGGGGGACAATCCTGCTCTGCGAACGGTGAAACACGACTCCAAATGGTTTCGAGGTAACAAAGACGTCAAACGTTAGTTGACAGGAAGGGGAAGCTGTGCAGAGTCAGCACGTGGATGCAATATTAATTCTGTTTGTGTATGTAAAATGCATGTTAGAGAGAGTTAAGTGTATTAATGTGTGTCATGTCCATTGTTAAAAAGCATTTGTTTGCACTCATATGACTTTAGTGTTCCAAAACCTAGTGAGCTGCCTTGTATTATTATTAGACATACTGTCTAAATAGGCAACTACCTACTAAGACAGCATCTTAACCAATGTGGAATGTATATTAATTATGTATGTATATATTTATATAATTAATACCAATACAAATAGATTGTAAATTATTGATGAAAACAGTGACATTTTAAATGGTTATTATAAACAAAATAAATACACATTTTTCTCGCCTCATCCTCCATCTTGGATTTTTTTTTCACCAAGGTTGTCACGATGCATTCTGGGGTAGGTTTTGGAATAGAGCATTAGTGTCAGGGTCGACGAGGCTTTCTGAGGATTCACATCTGAGTCAGCAGCCAACCTGATGTAAAACTGCACCCCCTCTTCCCATCTTCCTTTGCTCCTGTGGTCTGTGCTTTGATGTGATCTCCCACTGATGCAGCAGAAAGCACATCTGTGTCCTGACTCAAACTTTTGTGCTTTCTCCCTCCTGCTGTCCTGGGTCACTTCCTGTCCCCAAACGCCCTCACTTTTTCTTTCTTTTGGTTTGAATGTCCATTGACTAGATAATGACCTTATTGGAAAGCAGCCTGTAGTTCAACTATGTACTTCAGTCAGATTGGCCTTTCTGAAAATCGTGTGATTTGAGGAAGTAGTAATTGTCCTAAACAGGAAGTACTAATGGTCCTGCTCTGTCTGTTTCAGAGCCGTACTTTGTGAGTGCTGTGGAATGGGGGCCGCATGTCTACTTCTTTTTCAGAGAGATGGCCATGGAGTTCAACTACCTGGAGAAGGTGAGATAATGGTAGTCTCTTGATTCTCAGGTTTTCATCATGAGGAAAAGACCCCAATATTTTCACATGTGTCTGCTTTGGAGTTTCAGAAGAGCATTCAAAGCATTCAGAAGGCAGCTTTATTCCTATAATGGGAACAGGGATTGTTTATGGACATATATGGCTCTATGAAGAAACTCTTACATCCATGGAACTTTTTTACTGCACAAAAGATTCTAAGAAAAAAATGAAAGATTCTTTGGGGAACCCAAAATGGCGGTTCTATATGGCATTGAAACCCCCTTCTGGAACCTTTATTTTTAAGAGTGTATGAACTCAAAATTTTGAATTTCGTAGCTCCATACTCTTACGGTATGTTAAATATTGTCATTTCTGTCCATTTTGATGTCTCCTGAGGAATTTTAGTTTAGTTCCTCTTGCTTTAAACAGTAGCATGATGCTAATAACATCAAGATCCTAGGTTTGATTTCCTGGGAAATTATAAAATGTATACATTGGTACGTAAGTTACTTTGAATGAAAACATCTGCCAAATGGATGAATATAAATATAGAATTCCTGAGCTACAAACAAGACAATAGGGGTAAAATCTTCCTGTGGGAGATCAGCAGTGGATAGATCAGGAACAAGTGGTGGGAGTAATCTGAAATTGTGTTACCGTATGTCCAGTCTGGCAATATTATTCAAATGTCAATACTAACTACTGTATTTCCAGTCAGACAGTGTTATGACCTTTTCCCTGTTTTTTCGTTGAATGTTTTATTCAATAATCCTGCCCTATAAAGCTGTTTTGAGTGTAATTTAGGCACACATACAAGTTTTTTTTCTGTTGTTGTTTTTCAGGGTAACTGAAATACCATTCGTCATATAATTGACTGAAAACTGAGAAAAACACATCGACAGAATAACAAGGGTTCCTTTTATGTGAGAATTAGCAATGCAAGACTTCTGCAAGAACAGATTTGTGCTTGCGCAAGCATTTTATACCGCCGGACCTCCAAAAGGAGAACAAAAAACCCACTATGCTTTGGAATCAGCTCCTCTGAAATCACTAGGCGAACCCGTTTTAGGGAATGCTGACATTTTCATGAATGAATTTATATTAGCTTACCCATTTTACACAGACTAGCTACTCTCCAAAATCTGCATAAAATCCACAAGGATTAAAAGATTTAGGGCTTTTTGAAAAGGATTCAGTACTGTTTGATGTGTGTATTATCGAAATGCTTAAAATTCATAATTAATATCTGTTAAATTCATTTTCTCTGACCTTAGGTGGTTGTCTCTCGTGTGGCACGCGTGTGCAAAGCCGATCAAGGTGGTTCACAACGTGTGCTGGAAAAGCAGTGGACGTCCTTCCTGAAAGCTCGGCTGAACTGCTCAATCCCAGGAGACTCGCACTTTTACTTCAACCTCCTGCATTCCACCAGTCCCATCATCCGCATGCACGGCAGGGATATCATCCTCACCGTCTTCTCCACACCCTCCAACAGGTGGGTCACAGTCTTCTGAAGCAAGCGCTGACGAATCCAGTTCTCGGCAGCAGTCGAGAAACGAGAAAAGAACCACCCACGATGCATATTGCACACAAAAATGGCAGGCACTGGCTGAAATCACTAGCTTCTCTCTGATTGGCTGGCGTCCAGTTACCAGGAGTCAGGGTGCACTGGTTTTTATCACTCTTCTACTGAGAAAAAGTTGTGTTTGCAAGCTTCCAGGCTTCTACAATGAGCTTTTCTTTAGAAGAACTAGCCACAGGATTTGCCAAGGTTTGCGAGGAATCAATCTTTGAAAGATTTTGTTGGAAACATTTAATAAAACAAAACAAGATATACTTCAAGATACCTACACTATGGTTCAGAAGTTTGGATTTTTTTTTTTTAAGAAATAAATACTTTTATTCATCAAGGATGCATTAAATTGATCAAAAGTAACATTTGCATTGCTACAAAAACTGTGAAAAATAAATTAAAAAGAAATCCCCATCTATTCATCAAAGAATCCTGAAAAATATCTATGTTTCCACAAACGTTTTAGGCATCATAACGGTTCTCAGCGTTTATAATAATAGGAAATGTTTCATTAGCACCAAATCAGCATATTAATATGATTTCTGAAGGATCATGTTACACTGAAGACTGGAGTAATGACTGCTGAAAATATCACTTTGTCATCACAGGAATACTTTGCATTCTAAAATACATTAAAATAGAAAACAGTTATTTCAAATTCGAATGTGTTTTTGATTAAATAAATGCAGCTTTAGTGAGCATAAGAGACTTTAATGCTCAAAAACATAAACAAATCCTACCAACCCCAAATTTTTTTAATGCTAGTGTACATAGTCCAACCTGTTCTACAAAAATAAAAAAAACAACTGTTACATACAGTACTGTATAGATCGGATGACCTCTTTCTGGCAAAGTGGGCAGCACTTGGTCAAAATAAATTGCAATGCAGACCTTTGCACTGCAAGTGTGGCTAAACCAGACTAAGAACCACCAGATTCCAAGCAGACTATGAATCTCTAGAGATAAACTCCCAAATATAGTGCATTAGCAGCCTCATTGATAGACAGTTGAGCTGGAAATATCACAGCCTGGTGGCAACAGCGGAGCGCTGGGAAACAGGTACAATCGCTCTGGGTTTAGGTCGTCCTGTGGGATTATGGGTGAAAAACCACTGAATATAGAACACTAGTGCGACACTGCAGGGAATATTATTGCAGGTTTTAATGGCATGTAAAGAGGCGCTGCGAGAGAACAGGAGGGGAAGATGGAGATTGATGTATGAATGAGGAATGGAATTGATGTGGATAGATGTACACATGCTGACAGGCTGTCACCAAGATGTCACACTTAGAGAGGAAAGCAACAACAAAACATATATTTTTGGGATCAGGGAGCAAGTGCATGTTTTGACAGAGTTTGCAGAAAATAATTACAGGAAAGAATGCGAGAACACAAAAAGAGGGAGGGCTATCAAGAGGATGGGAGTGAAGACGCTGAAAGAGTCATTACTATGAGAGGAAATACAGAGAAGAGAAAATTGAGAGAAAATGGTTCCTGTATGCACGTTCCTAACCGTGTGTGTGATTGAGGTCTGAGAGTGAATACTTAAAGGGACAGTTCACCCAAAAATGAATATTCTGTCATTTACACACTCTCATGCTGATATTAAAATTCTGACCTGATCAGAATTAAAATTCTGAATTTCTTTAAATTATAGCCAATAACTGGTAAATGTTCTAATAAAGGTTGTGTGTGGATGTGTACAATACCATTCAAAAATATTAATTTCTTTAAAAAAATAATTAATTAATACTTAATAATTAAGACTTTCATTCAGCAAGAATGCATTAAAGTGATCAAATTGATAGTAAAGATATTTATAATGTTACAAAAGATTTCTATTTCTAGTAAATGTTGTTTATTTTAACTTTCTATTAATTAAAGAATCCTACAAAAATTTATCTTGGATTCCACAAAAATATTAAGTATCACAACTCTATTCACCATTGATAATAATATGACATTATTATAATGCATATTATTATGTTTAAAATCAGTGTATTTTAATGATTTTTGAAGGATCATGTGACACTGAAGACTGAAAAAATGGCTGCTGAAAATTCAGAATTCAAAGCAAAGGAACTAATTAACAAGTAAATTGTATATATTATAAAAAAAGTAAATTGTAATATTTCACAGTACTGTTTTACTGTATTTTTATTATATAAATGCCGCCTTCATCATTTACATTTTTATTATATCCATTAGTGTTGTTAAATATTAACATTTACTAATATTAAATAACTGCAAAGGTAATCTAAATGTAAAATGATTACAACAATTCTTTTTTTGAGTGAATAATGACTCAAATTTCAGATTCTTCCTCAGTTGAAAATTCATTTCATATCTGGGTGAGCTATGTCTACAGTGTGTGCAAGAGCATGCATGATGGATAATATTTTTATGAGACCTGTGTGTGTGTGTGTGTGTGTGTGTGTGTGTGTGTGTGTGTGTGTGTGACAAATTAAGTGCAATAGAGCACCCTCTGAATGATGGAGGAAGGGCAGGACTCCCAGTATGCAAATATGTATTTGTGTCAGAGCAGGGGCCAAACCTCAGCAAATGCCAACTCTAATAACATCTCAGTCTGCAAATGGCCACTGTGGGGGGGATGAGTATATGAATGTGGAGGGGGGAGATATTTGCTCAAGGACGAATGAATGAGGTGGTCAATAATAGCTCACATCTTCCCCCACCTCTCCTTCACAAGAAAAAACTGAATCTTATCTGTGAGGGTTCGCCTCCTTCACTCTTATCCTGAGGGCACGGATCCACGGCGGACTCAGTTAGAGATGGAGCACCGAGGTGCAGTGGCAGGGAGCGTCCAGCTGTACAAGCATTCCCATCTGCAGCTGCAGTTCTCTATAAACAGCGCAGAGGGCTTCGCCAGCCTGCCGGGAGGATGTATGGTCTGTTAAAGAGCTCTCAGACAAATTGCCGGGATTGGTTAGTGCGTGGCAGACGCAGCAGCAGGGGAGGACTATGGGAATGAGAGGAGGGTATGTTGGGATGTGGTTGAGATGGGTCTAAGTATTATGAAAAGGAGAGTAATAAAGTGCAGACTGTCTTAAAAAGCAGTGACTCATGCTGAATAGAAAGTGGTTAACAGGACTATTCTGTGGATTTTGAACATTTTGCCAGTTTCTCATAAATTCTGATTATTTATACATGAGCAGATTTAAATTCTAAATCTTATTTTAAATATTCATGCTCAGTTTTTCAGAAGGTAAGCTAGGTGTCATGGTTATTTTTGCTTATACTTGGGGTTAGGCATTTTTTGTAATGCTTTATAGGATGTGTAGTTGTTCCTTTATAGAAGACATTATATGTAGTGTAGTCTTATACTTTTCTTTCTGTTCTGATTTTCATATGTTCTACCATTTAAAAGTCTGGAGTCGGTAAGATTTTGTAATGTTTTGATGAAAGAAGTTGCTTATGTTCACCAAGGCTGCATTTAATTGTTCAAAAATACAGTAAAAACAGTAATATTGTGAAATATTACTACAATTTCAAATAACCGTTTTCTATTTTAATATATTTTAAAATGTAATTTATTTCTGCGACGGCAAAGATGTTACTCCAGTCTTTAGTGTCACATGATCCTTCAGAAATCATTCTGACATACTGAAAACAGTTGTGATGCTTAATATTCCTGTGGAACTGATACTTTTTTTAGGATTTGGGTTCAAAATTTGTTTAAAATGTCTTTTTTCAATTCTAAAGTGTATTTACTGTCAGTTTTGATCAATTTAATACATCCTTGCTGAATAAAAGGATTAATTTCTTAAAAAATATGACTGACACCAAACTTTTGAAGGGTGGTGTCCTTTTTTTGCTTCAAATCAAAGTTTGTAATGCTGTGATTCATTTCAGAGGTGGTTGGTTTAGTTCATGGCTTGAAACTGTTTGAAGAATGTTTTTACATCCATTTGGAGAAAATGAATGGGAACAATACTTCCAGAAACCAAGAATGGAAAAATGTGTCATTATTGCACTCCATTGTACTCTGCTGTAGTTTTCTTTTTCACTTCTTATGCACGTAGACTGTAGTAGATGAAAGGAAATCACTGGGAAGAAAAGGGAGGAACTTGCATTGCCCACATGAGCCCCACAGCTCATTGAGTCAAAGCATGTGCTAGGGTGTTGAGGATGATTTCCAGGGCTTGCTTTTCTAGGTGTTGTTGCTGTTTTTGCAATTGTGTCTTTCTTACCCAAAACTTTAGAACACTAGGGCATATGCATTTTTCATCTTTAAAAGGTATCAAGCTTGAACCCAGAAACCAATAAACTGATATATATACTGTATATATACACACACATA